TTGGAAATGCTGAGAAGATGCACTTCATTCTGAAGGTGACAAGTAACTGAGGCGTGTATCTAGGAACCTTTGGTAAAGAATTCTCTTCCCCTCTCCTCAAATTAAAAAGTGAAGAAAGGTACAGAAAGTGCAAAAAGTTGTTCAGTGGTGCTGTCTATTCGAGCTCTGATTTGGGGGGGAAATGGCAATATGTATTCATTATGCCCCCAATTTTGTAAATTTTAGATGCTCTTGCAGTAAATGAAGGCAAAAAAAAGTACATGGTGTGCCTCAGATGGGGCCAACCTTGGTAAGTAGGGCTTTGTGGGGCTGGAGGATGGTTTTGTAACATGGCTCTCCAAAAGCAAATTGAGGTCTGCGTAATGACATATTTTGTCGTGCTTTACAAGGAATGGGGCCTTTTTGTTTATTTTTTCAAAGAGACTCTGGAAACCATGTCTAATTTCAATCTAATGAAACACCTCCTAACATCAGGGGTTTCTTGGGCCAGTGTTTTATAAGAATTGCATCTCATGGTCATCATGTAACAGGGTGTCCTCTATTCACAGATACACTCTGCATCACATCACCTATTAGACTTCTTTTATTGGCTTAACTCTGATAATGGTCATGAAGTTCTCATTGCTTTTTTTTTAATATGTTGGACATTAATCTATTAAGTGTCAGTCAGCTCCTACGATGTGCAGTACTTAGAGGTAGGAGGGACCATGGGGATGTCCGTCCATTTATCCCTGTGAATGTGTAAGTCACGATGACTCAGGCTTTTCTGGGCTGCTTTGGAGATTAGAAATTGACTCAGATGAGGTGATGTTTTTTGACCAAACTTTATAAATCTCCCAGAGGATGTTGGCAGTGGAGTTTGGCAAGCAGAATATATCTTCTTGAAATCCAGTAAGCTCAATGGATTCCTAATGAAAAAAAAAGAGCTTTTCCAACAGAAAAGATAATTTGGGTTGCTATGAGATATTACCTGTACCAAGTTGTGATTATTTGTTTAAAATCATACCAAGAAATGAGGAAAAAGAACTTCTTTTTAAAGTTTGCTTGTCCAGAAATGGAAACCCTGGACTTGAGTTCGGGCTGACATTTCCCAAACACGGGCCTCATCCATGGTGGAAAGTGCATGAGGATCTGCATGTGAAGACCGACCCCAGCATCCTTGCCCATGCCCGTCATGTGGACCCAGTAGTATTTTTCAGCACTAGTGCAGTTCAGTGTTTCCCTGAGAATACTGGCTTCCTGGGCAACTGAGCGGATTAGCCGTATCAGATGCTGAGAAAGGAAGCTCGCACCCACATGTTTAGAACACACTTGGGGGGTCTCCGTTAGTGAGTAGAAACAGTGTCTGTGGTCGGGGAAGCCCTTGCCCTGTGGTGTGTGCAGCAGCCTTCTGGGAATACTGCGTAATCAGAGCTGGGACACTCACTCCATCCCAGCCAGTGGACAGACGGGCAGCAGCGTGCTCTGGTCACAGCAATTATGAAGCAGGCAGAGGGTGCAGGAGCTCATCTGAGTGGGGAATGAGCCCTAATGGTTGAGAGGTTGAAAGCTTTCAGAATATTTGCTGCTTCTCTTAAAACAGCTCCGCGAGAGTGGTTGAGCAGATGTAAGAACTAAACGTTATCCTGCTCGCAGATGAGTCAAATCTCAGACAAAACACATATTTTATTTCAGTATCCAGTTGATCAGTGAGAAGTAAAGAGTTCCTCCCTGGGGCTTCCCTGGTGGCGCAGTGGTTGAGAGTCCGCCTGCCGATGCAGGGGACACGGGTTCGTGCCCCGGTCCGGAAAGATCCCACATGCCGTGGAGCGGCTGGGCCCGTGAGCCATGGCCGCTGAGCCTGCGCGTCTGGAGCCTGTGCTCCGCAACGGGAGAGGCCACAACAGTGAGAGGCCCGTGTACCGCAACGTCTTCGTGGGACAGTAAAAAAAGTTAAAAAAAACCTTCCCTGAAGGTAGGAAAGTCGTATAAAGTTTATTTCCTGGATCCCTTTGTTTGGTTGTCTTCTGCTAATAGACAAATTTGCTTAATTTTCAAATGGTTTCCCCACATGAGCTGTTTCCATGATTGCTTGTCCTCCTCCCCTTGCGCTTTCCCTCTGTCTTTCCCGGTTTGTCTCTGACAAGCCTCATTTAGACCTAGGAGATAGATTTCAGGGTCCAAAAATGCCAAACCCACTTCATGCACATGAACCATGACCCTTGGTGATGGTCTCCAGGAGCCAGGAGGTTTTCTATGTTAGAGGATCTTAATCCTCTAACATAATAATGTTCTTCTGCATTATTAAGTGAGTGAGGCTTAGTCCTGGCGGTATTAACACGGAAGTGTCCCTATTCCAACACCTCCATCTCCGTTTAATTAATACGATGCTGATGCAAAGAGGTCCATCTGCCGAAGGCCAAGGTACCATCCCACCATGATGAGAAAAGGAGCAGATAAAATTGGCAGAGTTTGCAAAGGTTTGTTTAAGCACCTTTGAATGAGTAGGTTGAGTATTTCCAGATACGGAGCGAAATGTATCTGACATGCCATTGAGTTGATGTGTTTAAATAATTTCCCAATTCTTCTTGCATGTGTACAGTAGTGCAGGTTTTCTTATGGAAGGTCCTGTTTGTCAGTATGTGTATGTAAATTGGGATCCAGAGATTGTATTCTCAAATACACCCTTGTACGGTAGGGGTGGGGGAAGAATACTCAGCTTCAAGAGGATTCCAGTCACTCTCTGTCTTCGCCTCTGTTGTTTCATCTGTGAAACGGCTACATTACTACTGCTAAGTATAGGATCCTCGTGATAATCAAATTAGGAGGAATATGTGTAAATCGCCAGGTGTAGCTCTTGGCACGTGAAAGAGGCTCTCTTGAGGCTTTAAGGGAAAGGTTTCCAAGGCTTTGAGGAATAAGATTGGAGTAAAGCCACGTTGATATCTGCAGAAAGTTGGTTACCTTATTGATTGATTGGCTGCAAGGGGTCTTAGTTGCAGCACACGGGATCTTTGTTGAGGTGTGAGGGATCTTTTCGTTATGGCGTGTGGTCTGTTCGGGTTTCTCTGCAGTTGTGGTGCACAGGCTCCAGGGCGCGTGGGCTCTCTCGTTGAGGTGCGCGAGCTCAGTAGTTGTGGGGCGTGGGGCTAGTTGCCCCGCAGCATGTGGGATCTTAGTTTCCCGACCAGGGATCGAACCCGCCTTCCCTGCATTGGAAGTTGGATTCTTTACCACTGGACCACCAGGGAAGTCCCGAGTGTTGTTTACTTTGAGAGCAGGCACTGTCTGGTGCAGACTCTGGGGAGATGTCCCATGCAGATAGAAGTTTTGACATTGCCCTTGCTGATTAGATCATGTTAGGGACAGCGGGCAGGTCTGCCGCATCTGCCTTTGACAGAATGTATTATCTGGGGCTTGTAAATGAATTGTATGCTCACATGTCCTCTCTAAGTGTAAATATTGATTCTCAGGAAGAACTGAAATAATATTGTGGTGGGACATTTTCTCCTTGTTTAGGTTTTTGCCTTGCTGTATTTAATTGCATGCACATTAAAACTGCAACGCAGCCTTGGCCAGACTTCGGTCAACCAGATACCACTGCCAGTTCTTCTGCGCTCCATACTGTTACCTATTTAATATTTTTATTTAAGTACACTCTTCAAAAATGTGAATTTATTTGAAAAGGAAACAATGCTCTCCTTACCGTGAGTGGAAAACTGCCACATGCAGTAACTAGAAAGTGCTTTAATGTGCAGGGAAAACAGTGTCTTCAGATCTGCTGAAGGCACCAAGTTTAAGGCCTGCAGCCCTTGTGCAAAAGGAAATTATTAAGTGGGTGAGAGAGAGGTTTAAGATGTGTTAGCGCCCATCAGAGAGTTTCTCCTTAACACGAACAGCTTAGACAAGTTCTGAGGGTTTGTTTTTTGGATTCCTGTGTCAACATATTTTATAGATTAGACCCCATTTAATGCCATCACCTAATCTCTTATTAATGCCAGTATCATTAGGGGCTCCCATTTTCTCCTCCCCTGGAAACAAAGTTCAGCGCATTGCCGGGCTGCAACTGTACTCTTAAGAAACACAGATTTGAGTAACTCTTTCTCAGTTAGCCCATCAGGTTGGGAAGGACATTGCCAACCAGGCAGAATGTAATAAATCCAAACCCACTGAAAGACATTAGCCAGAGAACTGCCATGTACAGCCCCCGGGAAACTGAGGCTACCGGGGTGACCTGATTGCTAGGTGTACACCTGGGCATTTCTTGAGGATAGGACCGCTGTTTCAACGCTACTGTAGCGTTTCTCTTGTATTCGAAGCCGGGTGCCATGCGTATAGTCGACTCTGTGATCAGTTGTTGGGCAAACTTGGAGCATCTGGCAGCTTGCCAAGCAGGGCAGTTCCGTCTCCTTGGAAGCTTTTGTAATCCTATTGCAGACGCTGCCACCCAGTACAGCTCTTAGGTGTTCCTGGCTTGTGGGAGCAGTGATGAAACTCGAAGACTCACGAGAGGGCGTGACGTAAGAGGTTAATGTGAAGCTGACACAGCGTGTTTAGGTCATTAAAATGTTAGCCCACCCCTCCCTGCCATTTGCATGGAGAGAGGTCTTGGAATGGACTCTTTTCAGGTTTGGAGCCACCTACTTCTCACCGCACCTTATCAGTCCTGGGGTCACAGCCCCTGAACAGGAGGGAGGCTGGACGGATGGGAAAAGGAGTCGGAAGGAGAGTTTGCATGTTCACACTTCTGGGCCTGGGCACTGGGTGTGCCTCAGACCTGGCAAACGCCAGTGAGGGATGAGTCATCTCATTTATTTTTGCCTGCTTTTCTGTTTTGATTGAGTGGATACTCTAAGCTTATCATAATTATTTTTGGCAGGGGGAGGGTCATTATGTTAGAGCAAAAAAATTTAGTGTTCAAAATAATGATACTTTTGAACCATGCTGTGATATTTGTGTCTTAACAAAGAACTCTCATACTGTGCAAAAATTAGGACATTTAAACTAATATTTAGTACTTACTTTTTTAAAAAAAATTGTTTGCCTGCTAGCTTTCCAGATATGTTCCTGGAGGGTTTGGGGTTGGTTGGTTGTGTTTTCGCATGCCCAGGGAACTTTGCTCCTCTGTAGACAGCTAGCCATGGATTTTATTTTTATTATTTAAAAATAGCAAGTACATTACAGAGAGCTGTTTTCGAAAACAGAGTTTCTGTGCTTGATTTCATTCGTCCTAAAGACAAAAAGCACGTATTAAAGATACAAACTTTTTTCAAATTATGAAAGTAATGTATTTTCATTTTATAGAACATACGGAAAAATATGTGACAGTGAGATCCCACCAACTGGAGATAATATTTTGGTGTGTCTTCTACTCTTTGATTTTTATGCAGAGGAAAAAAACCGTTGAAATTAAACCACTTCGTGAATTTTCTTATTTTTGCTTCTCTCCTTGTAAGACACAAGTTGAACTAAATGGTATTTATGTTCTAAAACTCACTGCTCATAGAGTTAGTTAAATGATTTGAAACAGTGTTTTATAGCCTTATTAAATTGCCTGCCTTTTCCAATCATTGTGACAGCATAGTCCCTCGTATATTTAAATATTCTTCAGAAATGTAATGTTAATCTTCAGACATAAGATATGACATTTAAATATTAAATGGAAGAAAACAGCCAAAGAGATTGATTAAAATGCTGAGATACATTCCACATGTGTAATTACTTTTATTTACTCCCATTAGTTTGCTTGCATAGTTTTTAATTTGAAGCTTTAGATTTTAAATGTCACTATTGACCTAAATTAAGAATAAAGAATAACCATACACTCAAGATTTTAACAACCACAAGAAGGAAGGACTTACATCACAAGATGAGCAATCATCCCAGAAATCCAGCTTCGTAACTTACAACTAGTGATCAGTTTTCAAGCAAAGAGAATTTAGATTTTATTAACTTGAAGCAGCTGTTGTCTGTAATACGCTACTTTTTTTTTTTTTTTTCCGGAAATGGAAAAGGTCGTATAAAATAAAGAGTACTTGTGTTGTTTCTTTTTGAAAGCAGCTGGCTTCCCATCGTTGGGCTGTTTGTGAGCTCAGAAACCCCAGGCCCTGGATGTTTTCCTTGGGAAGGAGCTGGGGGGATGGGTGGAGCGGGGGAGCAGGCTTCCACCGTCCTGTGCAGGGGTCCCGTTATTACTTCCCCCGTACCAGCCCTGCTGCGGTGTCTCACCATCATAAACCCTGCCCCAGGTACTCAGATGGGAGGGGCAGGATGAGAGCAACCCCGTCCCCCAGGCACTTGGAGGGGAAGGGAGACCGGAGGCAGAGTCCCAGGGGGAGGGGAGAGGGGAGAGGGCGGAGGCAGTGCTCTGTCAGCTACTCATCACTCAGGCTCCCAGTGGAATTCCGCGCATGGCACTTGAATCACTGCCCCCAGCATCCTCCATAGGGACGAGTGGGGAAGACCCTCAGGGCTAGAAGCTTCCCCAGTTCCTGGGCTGCTTCCGCAAAGCTGCTGTGTGACCTCGGTGTCCTTTGGAGAGCCACTCGGGATCTCATTTCTTCAGGGTTGCCTTTGATCCCTGGCACGAAATCATCTCCAAGCACAGTTTGTAGTTATTATGTATTAGGATTATTTGATTAATGTCTTCCTCTCCCTATTTTGTCCACTGTTTTATCCCCAGCAGCAGGCACCATTCCTGGTCCACCGAAAGCCCTGGGTAAATATTCACTGAAAGCAAAAAAAAGACTTTTTGACATATTATTTTACCTCTCTTTGGTTAGTTTAACTATCTAAAATCTCGTGATGAAAATAGTCATGTAAATTTCGAAAGCTCTTTTTTGGTGACGTAGTACATCCGCCAACAGGAAAAAGACGATTACAGTGTGCCTTAGATTATTTTTATTACATTTTAATATAATTTTATATTATTATAAAATAATGCTATGTTATTTTATGTAAGTTTTATATTATTAATGCCTGAAATTGTTTTTGGCAAGGTCTTACCTTTTAATGCAAATTGTTTTCTTAAGTGAAAAATACAGATTATGAATGATTTTTGCTTGAGATTTCCTTGCTGTTTAAGCCATTCTAAAAATTTCCAAGAGTAGAGAGTTTGCAGTAATTATGCTCTTTTTAAGATGAGAATTTTGAAAGTCGAGAGAATTTCTCAAATCAGTGGTGGATTTGGGAAAGAAAATTGGGCGGGGGTGGGGGGCATTTTCGGGAATGTTCCCTTTTGAATCCTTAGCATATTTTGTAATTATTGTCTTCAGGGTCGCTTTGCCCTCTTCCGTGATTAGCACAGCACCCTGCTGGTGTTAAGTACTGGTATTCGTTTGAATTTATGTATGTATTTAGTTACGGATAAAATCATGGAAGAAAGACGTAGATTCAGCTAGAAACAGTCTTGTGTTTAAGCCTATTCTTTTTAACTTATACGTTTGACACAATAGTTACGTTAAATTCAGACGTAGAGACCCGGGTTACCATTGGCCTTTCCCTGTCACCTCTCCATATCCTGAACTTTGTTCTTTTCATAGCGTTTCCCCTTCTCCTACCCTGTAAATTCACTGTGTATATCTCTGTCAGTTTTATCTTCCCAGAGTTTAGGACTTTGAGACGTGGCATTGATTCAGACTCAAGTAACGTGGAATGGGAGGTCGTCATGCTGGAGGGAGTCTGCAGACAACCCTTACTTTTCATAAGGAAAGGCAATGCCAAGGAGAACAATTGTTTTCACACAAATGTCAGTGGGAAAATTGGAATTACTTAAGAGAATTGAACTGTTTCTAAACATCCTGGGCTGTAGGAATCGCTGAAAGTTAGGGTTCTCCCCATGGGTTTGTGGATTCAGAGCCTGGCTCTGCCTTTCGACAACCCTTGCAGCTGTTCTGTTTTATTGGTTCACTCTGAGAACAAAGGTGCTTCTTCTGAGAGCTTCTCCAAGGCCTCGTACTCAAAAATTTGCTTTGTTGTCCCAGGGGACATGGCTCGGTTTTTAGTAACTCGTGCTCGTTCTAGGGGAGTAAAGTGGTGGCTCTAAAATGTTCCTTTAAGATGTCGATGATTATGGCACAATCATCTTCCTTGAGAGAAAAAAAAAAAAAGACTGGCTCTGATCCAAAAAATTACAACACTTTGGCCATAAATCCCTAATTGCCTCTAAAAAGTAAAACAGACATGTTTAATTTTTCTATCCCCTGTGCAACTTATCTGCGTTGTCTGGTGATTAAGACAGGCGGCAGCCAGTTAGGCTTTTTGGAATCTGGTTCTTTCCCTGCCACTGAGGACTCTGGCTCAGTCCTCCCAATGTGCTTGGCCCTGCTAAATACATCAGTAGAGAAAACTGCTCTCCCTTCCATGTAGGGGTCTGCAAAGACTCGTTCTACTGAGAAATTACTGAGATGTTTGTATGACAGACATCATCATCACTGCCTTTGTCAGAATTAGTGAGTATGGATGAGAATTCTGGAAGCTAGCTTATGTATTTCTGTTACTTTATATCTTGAAGGCCTTTCCAGGTTGGGATATATAGAACTCTACTCAAACTTTTTAAACTACCACACGGTATTCCATGGGATAGCCATTTCTCTCATTAGGACTGTTTCTAATTGTTCCCTACTACACACAGTGCTGTAGACCATACTTATATGAACAGTGATGATGATGATGATGACAGCAGTAACAACAACAAGCAGACACTTAGAAAGTACTTACTGTGTGCCCAGCATTAGTTTTATCATTGGAGTGTGTGTGTGTGTGTGTGTGTGTGTGTGTGTGTGTGTGTTTGTTTTAATCCTCGCCACAATCCTATGAGAAAAGTATTCTTATTATCACCATTTTATATTTGAGTAAAATGAAACCCAGAGAAGTTTTCTAATTTGACCAAAGTAACAAAGCTAGTAGGTTTCCTAACTGGGATTTGATCCAAATAGAACCTGATAGGTATATAAATACATTAAAATGCATAATCTTCTTCCCTAGTTCTTCCTCCTGCCCTGAATGGTGGCCATGACTCAGACCCAGACTTTGGCCCTCTATTCTTCCATCTCAAAGCTACATAGTAGCTCTGTGCTGGTGCTGCCCAGGTTTCTGGGCTTCATTTGCCTCTGCTTTGCATCACCAGCTGCCAGTGAGACATTTGCGTACAGTTGTAGGTTTCTTGCTCCCCAACCCCATTCCTTCTCATTTTTGTTTTCCTTATACCCCTTGTACGGACACTGGCCAGGATAAGCACCCTTGTCATACTCGTGCCGTGCGTATTTCAGCATCTCTCCTCACCTCTGTCCGTGCCCTTCTCATGTATCCATATCCTACCGTCGCTCTGCCGGAGCTGAAGACAGTCTTCTCCGTGTCACCTTGGCCGACCAGCCATTGCAGCCTGTATTGACGGTTCTCATTCTGTGTTCTGAAGGCATCTACTGGAAAGCTTCAGGATGGGAACTGTGCAGTCAGAGGGCCTGGGTTCCAGTACTGGCTCTGGGATACTTAGCTTTGCTGACCTTTAGCTTCCTCATCTGTAAAATGGGGGTAATACTTCTTACTTCAGTCATGAAGAATAAATGAGATAATGTTTTAAAGAACGTTAATTATCTTTATACTACCAATTACATTCTCAAAATGCTTTCCTCTCTCTGTAGCCTCTGCCTTAGCCCTTAATTATTCTACTTTACATGTTAGTTTTGCCTCTTTAGATTATTGGAGCTCAGGTCACCTCAGGTCATCTGGCCACCGGAGAACCAGCCCACAGTGGTGAGCAGTTAGTAGACCTTGCTTGTTACTGAGGGCTGTATTGCTGAGAATTCATGAGTCATCATGCTGGGCAACTCTGCTCTGGACGACTGTGCTCTGTTTATCCAAGAATAGAAACATTTACCTTAATTCTGAAGAGCTGTTTTCCAAATACCACATCTGAGTATCTTCAAATTCCAAACAGTTTATCCAGCATACATCTCCCAAGCAGGGGCACCTGTTTTCTCTGGGCACATATTCCATAGGCAGACATCTAGATCAGTCCGGTTAGAATTTGCTGAATTACACAAATCGTGATGTCTTAGCAGTAGTTTTTCATATAATCTTTCTCTTAGTTTCTGCAGAATCTAGTTGATAAAAAAATGAAATGACCTTTTGAAAACTATCATGGGCGCACACACACACAGACACACACAAAACTCACACACAACAGAAATATCTGCTTTTTATAGTTCGTGCTTTTCTTCGGGAAGAAAATACCCTAGTTTTCTAGGGCCATGAGGAACAAATGAGATGGTTGTGTGAATTCCTCAGTAAACTTCCTGTCTAGATACGATTACTCTCCAATTAAAGTTAGTCACTGAGACACTTCATGGGGAAAAACTTTCGAGTGGCGAGCAGTTACTGGGCTAACTAGTACCTAATCACCAGTACAGCAGTGATTATTTATTTAGCACTTCCTATATCCAGGGACTGTGCTAAGTTTTGTAGGTGTACATGGACACATTTATTCCTTTAATTCCCTCAAGCAGTCTAAGAGGAAATGTTGAGGAAAGGACACTGAGGTCCAGAGAAGAGGAGTGACTGTGGGGACAGAAGGGGCTTGAGTAGGAAGTTGGAAAGCTCCAGGGGGCTGGCGTATTTCCCTTGGCAGACAGAAGTTGTCCCTGAACTGAAGTGGAGGGGACAGTCCACAAGGAAGGAGGGACAGTGAAGGGACCTGGACAGCCACAGGCATCACAGTGAGACATGGATGGGGTATTTCAGCTCAGTTGCCTCCCAGCGATTGGCCTTAAGTGAGTTACTAACGCTCTCTGGGCCTCAGGTTCTTCCCTGGTACATAACGGCCGTTGTGATGCTGTGAAAAAGAAATAACATATAACAAAAGGATTATTAGTCTGCTGCTTCAAGGTTGTAGCACCCAGTGAATATGTTCCTTTACCGCTTTCAGGATTCTATCTGTAGGCTTCTAATATTAGACTTAGGAAAAATAATTATGTATGTTTCAAGTGTAGCCAGGGACATTGAACAACTGTAACCGTTACTTGCATTCAATACAGATCATGATTTTTGCAACATTTGCTTTTCTTTGCTTCCTTCTTCCCTCCCTCCCTCCTTTCTTCTTTTTTCACTTTCTGTACTGAAGTGTACTTCAGTATCTGTCGCTCAAAACACATACACATTTCCTTATGTAGCTACAATATAGAAGTGACAGAATTAAACCTAAACTGAAAATCGGTAATACTGTAACCTTGGAAAATAGGTAAAAACATAATTTCTGTATAGTTTATGAGTTGGTGTTCATTTTTTCACAAGTGACCAAATCTAAAGGTTTTGTGCATGCTTTTCCGTTTTTGCTTGCCTTAAATGTATTTTTCGTAAGATATTATACTCGAGATTTAAATATACTCAAATTCTGTAAAGAGTGACTAAAACATTGATGTGGGCGTATTCTAGTAATTGTTGACATTTTACCATAGTCTTGAAAGTTTTTTAAGGGGGAAATACTGTGGTGGAAGATGTCTACCAATTTCCAGCTCTTGTTGTTCCCATCCCCTCCATCCCCAGACATGTAAAGCCTCCGCTAAAGTTGGTGTCTGACTTTGCTGTCTCTATGCATTTTTAAAGACTATTTCTGGAATTAAGACAGGCGTTTTCTTAGATTGAGAATCAGGTAGGAAAAACGGATTCCTTCATTCCTTACGGTAACCCTCAAGTGGGTAATATTACTATCCCCATTTACAGATGCAGAAACTGAGGCTTAAGTCAAAATGATCCTTACTAAGGTTACACAGCTTGTAAGTGGAGCAGCCAGTGTGGGGCTCTGTTGGTCTGACCTCAGAGTCTGTGTTGCAGGTACAGTGCTTTACTGTTTCTATTCCTTGTGAACTGTCACACTGAGATGAACATGAACTATACTGAAACCTAAACTGAAGAGCGTCTAGTGGCAAGTTTGCAGTCTAGGAACAAAGAGTATATTTACTGGAGTAGCCTATTCAGTATGGGGGGTATTGGTAAAGAGCAACAGTGGGAAATGAGGGAAAGGAGCCGCTCTGCAGAAGTACACACTTGAACCTATTTGTAAAGAATTTGAAGATCAAAACTTTACTGTGTAGAGCAGGGCTTCCCAAGCATGATCTCCTTTCAAGGGAGGGGGAAGTGAGGTAAACATCTCAGTTTACAGACGAGGAAACTGAGTCAGACCAGAGCACTGCCTTCCTGGGTGGTGATGAGTGTGAGTCATGTTTCAGATGCTGCAAATTGGCAGCTGCCGCCTGTAAGGAGATGTCGGGGTTGGCGGTGGGTCTGCTCTCAATTGCCTGAGCCTCTGAGCCAGGACCAGTCTCCCCCGAAGCGGCAGCCGGTGGAAACCCTGCGCACACAGTGATGTCGGACTGGCTTCCATCTTCATGTCGTCTCCTTTCACTTGAACTTAAGTGAATGACTTTACCGTTTATCACTTTAAACATCGACTGGGAGGATGACGGCATCAGAAAAATAAACCACGGTTCCTTGAGAGCATCCAGAACTCTTTTCTGTACTGTTCAGCCTTAACTAGTTTTCTTTCTGGTACTCTCATTGTAAACATCAAAAAGAACATTCTGTTTCCGCAGGGCAGGGACACTTGCAGCATCGCTGTCCGTATGACCCTTGTCTCAACAAATCTGATTTCTGATGTGGGCCCAGAGGCCGGCATTATTTATTTATTTTTAAAATCAATTCTCATTGGAGTATAGTTAGTTGCTTTACAATGCTGTGTTAGTTTCTGCTGTACAGCAAAATGAATCAGTTGTATGTATACCTAATATCCCCTCTTTTTTAGATTTCCTTCCCATTTAAGTCACCACAGAGCATTGAGTAGAGTTCCCTGTGCTATACAGTAGGTTCTCATCAGTATTTATTTTCTTGAACATTCGTTCATGCATCCTCTCCTTGCCTGGATCCCTGGCACTTGTATTTCTTTCTAATACCCAAACCTGTTGTTAGAGAAAGACTTCTTTGGGTCGAAGCCACAGTATATAAATAGCCCTTTATTTTTAGAAAGTAGTACTTAATCTGCAATAATTAAGCTGCTCTGGGGGTCGCTAAAATGTCTGCCGCAGTGAAATTTACCTTGAAACTGCACAGAGCAGGTCTGCTCACCAACAACAGTGCTTTTTGATTTTGACTGTGCACTAAATCAATTGGGGAGCTTTTCAATAAAGACTGAAGCCCGTGTCCCACCTTCAGAGATTTCTGGTTAATTGATCTGGGTGGGACCAGGTATTGGTAGTTTTTTTTTTTTTTTTTTTTGCAGTACGTGGGCCTCTCACTGTTGTGGCCTCTCCCATTGCAGAGCACAGGCTCCGGACGCGCAGGCTCAGCGGCCATGGCTCACGGGCCCAGTCGCTCCGCAGCACGTGGGATCTTCCCGGACCGGGGCACGAACCCGTGTCCCCTGCATCGGCAGGCGGACTCTCAACCACTGCGCCACCAGGGAAGCCCTATTGGTAGTTTTTAAAGCTCTCCAGGCTTTAACAATACGCAGCCAGGATTGAGAACTAGTGCCCTGGAGCAGTGATTCTGAAACTTGAGCATGCCACGGAATCTCCTGAAGGGCTAATGAAAACACAGACCGCCAGGCTGCACCCCCAGAATTCCTAGTGCAGTAGGTCTGAGGTGGGGTCTCAGATTCTGCATTGCTAAGCTCCCAGGTGATGCTGATGCTACTCGTTCTGGGAACCTGCTTTGACCTGTGGCCTAGAGACATCTTTCCAATAGCTTTATATGATTCTATTTTTTTTTTTTTAAAAAAAGATGCCTATAAAAATAACCAGCATTGCTTTTAGTAGAACAACCACTTTAGGCACAAATATTAAAATACATTTCTCTTTTCCTCGGCGAGTTGGACCATTAGTTTTTTCTTTAAACCAGTATCCTCACTAGCAGGCAACTAGAGACCCAGAATCTGAAAGGAACTGGATTCAAGGCAGATGAGAAGTTTTGTCGTTTTGTTTTTTAAGTAGAAAACGTTGCAGGGGTCTGTAGAATCATTGCTCACGCTAGCAAATTACCCACAGATTATGCAGCTTTCCTGACACACGTAGCTTGGGAAAAGATGACACGGCAACACTTTTAATGTTCTAGAGAACATGAGACATGGCATGGAAGTGCAAAGATGAATACAAAACATGGTCCTTGGCCCCCAAAAGAGAACATTCTAGCTGCAGAATGTACAGTCTGTGACTAGACGTGTGTATTTCTTATTTCAGTGGACTCCATAAATTTCTCTTTCTCCAACTCTTAGGACTTTTCCTATTTCCCTTTGCAAACGCTTCCCTCAGTCCTTAAGTGAAACACCTATGACGAAACATTGGATGTTCTAGGGTGCCAGCTCTGCCACGCCCCTAGAGCGTGGCTTCCTGCCTCACCGTCCACTTACCTTCCCGTGACCTTTATGGAAGAGCGAACTTGTAAACGCGGCTGTTCCGTGTCCATCTTGGGCCTGTGGGCTTGGGCTTTGAACCCAAGCCATGGCGCAGCCTGACTCACGCTTCCTTCCTGCCGTGCAGCTTCTCTTGGGGAAAGTCCCTATGCTGGCTGATAGAGAAGAAAAGAGCCCATTCTATCCCTCTAACAGACCCTTAATTAATAGTAATCACGAAAATTGAAGTTGTGCACGGCCATGGCTATTCACCATTGTTGTCTTAGCGATTCCTGGACTGCACGAACAGAGCACCCCTTATTCTGCAATTAAATGAAAAATAATGGCATCACTTCAGCTTTAAGGAAGGAAATGTCCAAGTGCAACCTCTGTGTAATTAAGCTGAACATGATTATTATCAGAAAGTGATTGTACTTGTGTTCAGAGGCGAGAAGAGATAAGCCAGCAAGCATGTGACCGATCAAAAAAAATGGTGCTGGGGATGTTGGACGTTCTCCCCAGACAGCCAGCTCCCTGCCTGGTGGCGGGGCAGGTGCCACTTGACGTACCATTTTCTCTCTCTTCCGGCTGTTTGAACATTCTTTCTCCTCAGTTCTCGGTACTGTTTTTGTACCATCTGCCTGTTTGCCATTTCTCTGTAGGTCTTCTTTCACCTGCATCTGTTTCCCTGCTTTTTGTTTTATTTGTTTGTTTCTTCTTTGGCAAGAATCGCTTTTCTCGACTTGGACGTGCCCCTAGCTTTCTGACAGGTAAAATTAAAGCAGTCCGTTTAAGTTTTAGCCAAACCAGGTGTTGAGTGATTGACCCTCACTCCAGAAACCTCATTTACTCCTCGCTTCTTTATTACCCTCTCATAATTCATTAGCTTAATAAAACGCATGTGTGAAAGGCTGAGGCCGAAAGCACTGCTATATATAGCGTGGATGCCTTCCTGCCTGCCCGCCCCTCCCCTGCCTGCATCCCGGGGACTTCAGGGGACCGACCAGGCTCTCGGTGGGATAGTCAAGGCTCCGAGAGGTGGTGCTTCGAAGAATCTCCAGTCGGTGAGTGTTCAAAAGCAGGATTCCCTCTTTGCTGTGGTGCCTCGGTGAGACACCTCTCACGGAAGTGCTGCCCCCATTCCCTTTAGTGGAATCCTAGGGACATAAGACCTTCACTCTCTGCTTCGTGATTCCCAGCAGCCCCCAGTATTTTTCAGCTGGTTCCAGAGCACTTCCAACTCACCCAGCTTCTTCATCAGAGAAAGCGTCAGACCCCCGTGCTTGCCCCTCTGGGGTCCTGCTTCTCTCTAGCGTTTAAAGTTGGCTGGTGGATCCCAAAGGCCCGTAGAGGAAGGGGTGGGCGTGGGTGTCGTCTTCGTCTTAATTCAGGTTTAGCTAATGGCTGAAGCTCCCCCCGCCCTTTAACATTCTCGCCAGAGCCCGGACTCATCCCGCGAAGTCCTCCCCTACCTCTGGGTTCCTAAACCCCTGTGTATTATGAAGGAAATGAGATCCGTATGCTTTTGATTCATTTACATGTAGCTCATCAAAATGTAGTTTTGTAAGAGCTCTTCGGTGTCCAAGAAGCATTTGGAGCCTTTTTATGAGACTTTTAACCGCCGCCCCCCACCCCCCGCACCCCTCCTCCATTCCCTTAGAACCAGGAAGTCGGGACTTGCCAAGAATAAATAAAACCAAGCTTCAGGGTTTTATTCGCTACACTTCAGTGGACTCACAACTTCAGCAACAACAGAGAAGACTCTCTGCCCCCTTCTTAGGGTGCCAGGGAAGCAGCCCTCATGCCACTTACGCCCCAAATGGCAGTGAGTTGGAGCTCCCCTCTGCTCCCCTGGGAGCAGGCAGCCAGTTGCCTCCACACAGTGGTTTTGCAGCTAAGCCTCTTCCCTCTGGCCGGGGAGCTGAGAGCCTCTGCCGGGCGCAGAGCTCAGAGTGCATTTCTGCAGCCATCCCCACCTCTGTCCACTCACCGCTCCCGAAGTTCTCGCTCTCAGACTTTCGCGGCCACAGGTTCTTCCCAAGCTGTTTACTTTGCACCCGTGACTTGTGTCTTTTTGCTGGGATGGTGGCTGAAGCACCCACAACTGTAAACAGGGCTTCGGGGTAGCGTGGTCATCGTTTTATGACATTTTGGAGTGTTGTGTCTTTCTTCATTTTTCTTCATCAAGAAAGGCTTATAAGCTTTAAGGAAAAAAACTACCTACTGCCACGAAGACTCCAGAGCTTCTAGTCTGTCAAACCACAGACATGAAATGAGTCAACCTGTTTCTAGAGTTGGGTTAGTGAGAGGTGGGGGGGGGGGGGATTTTCCTCCTCGATCCTAAGGGTGATGAATTAATGGAAAGCCATTCCAGAGCTTAGGATTCCTCACTTGGGCTGTTGGCATGAGTGGGGTGGAAGGAATTCTGCCCTTGTCTTTGCACGTCTCGGCTTGTTTCTCCTCCTCTGTCAGGGTGGTGCTGGGCCTTTCGGGGGCCAGAAGCTGGGCACGTGGAAATGCAGAGGCGGGGAGTGGGGAGCAGAGCTGGGCCTGAATGTTCTTGCCCCTCCTCCCAGCTGCAGAACTCAGGCTCTTTGCAGTGTGTTTATTTCTGCATGTGGACGCATAACACTGTGATAACAGCCATCCACTTATTCATAAATTACATGGACTCCGAGGATATTTCTCTGCAGAAGCACTCTTTATCTTCCAGTATGAAGAATTTGATAAAGTCCATGCTTAGTTTCAACACGAAGACAATATAATTAAATATTATATGTATACGTTTTGTGTACGTGGAAGTGGGGGAACCATTCTTAGCAGAATTTTAAGAATACTTCACAGCAATTGTAAAATGTTTAGGCGTGTTGGTAAGGAGTCTGAGTTAACGCTTGTGAAACCTTGAAATCTGAGCTTCACCTGAAATCCCATAGCAGGGAAAACCTTTACCAAAGGTGCTTGTGTTGAAGCTCTTTCCTCAGTGGTGAAAGGACCTGGCCTGAGTGTGCTGGGTTTATTTGGTTAGTTATTTCTCAAAGTGAATAAGCCAGTACTTTTGTGATCTGAGGACAGATAGCTGTCAGTCCATTGCCACAGTACTTTTAAGTGGCTTGAAATTTGCTACATAGTAAGGACCACTGGCTGCATGAGCACAGGTGAGATTTTCTTCATTCTGTGCTGCTTCCAACGGGTCCTTACTTTCCAGACATAAAAGGTTTGGAAGATAAACAAATACTCCGCACACGATCTATTTGTTTATCTGAGGTTTACAGATAAACCAACGCTATACACACAGTCTGTGTAATTCCCCCGGGTCTCCCAGTACTGTCATTCCAGGTGGAGAAATAATAGTTG